ATTCTTACTCATCTTCTCCCAGCAATTTAACACCACTCATAAAAATATAAATTATTGATACTGTGCACTAATACAGTGCAACCTTTCCATGAACCTCACTCTTTTCCTTGCTATATATTTTTTTTTCTTCACATGGTGATGCGCAAGTGGTTTTTGCAACGTCCTAAATATAAAGGAAGTTGGGTGATCCTCCGTAGGACTCAGCCGAGTGTAACCAGGAAAATTTTCATGTAACGGTGAAAATAACGTGTCGGTGAATGCAGTGCAAAGTACCTATATCCTGATCCAGGGTGTCATCATTAATAGTGACTACTAAATGATACGCTTATCATGTTCGCTGGCCACTGAGCATATATTATATCGTCTGACCATGCCTGTGTCCTGGCACCAACGGTCACTTTTTTTTATTCTGATCTCATATGGAAATGAATCTCTCGATGTAATGAAATAAACTCGTCAATATGGCAATATAATCTGTACAAATCTTCCCAACTCGTCAAACTCATTCAGTAAATTACAAATAATGCACAAAACCAATTCCCTCGTCAGTCATCAGAGTCAGTAATACAATATGCAGGCACATAACAGTTATATATTTTCATCCACTCCATTTACCAAAGGATGACTTATAAAACAGCCAATATTATTTGTTCAAATCAGCACAATATTGTTTGTCAAAAGAGCAGTTATATAGCATATGACGTAAAATGCGACTTCACACAACACACTTCCTTTATAGTATTGAATTTCTTCCTTTTCCAATTGTGTCCGCAAAAAGTGGACCACTATCCGTGAAATTAGCAATTTTGCACCAGTAATATGACAAAAATGCTCAGAATCCCAAAAGACATAACTATGAAGTCTACAATAAATTGCCTTCAGTCCAAGATGGCCAAACCTCCGAAAGAAGTATGGTGATGGATCTACATCAAGCTTCAATAAATCAGCGGAATATTTGGAGTCCTCTGGTATAGCACACAAAAACTAAATCCCTTAGATATTTACAGATCCCTACAATGTCACTGCTCTCTTAATGTTTCCTTTCACATACTCTCTCCTCAAATAGGTCTTTTGTTAAGATTCAATAAAGATATATGCAACACCCTTATTAAGTGAATTTCTATTTATTCAGTGGCTTAAAAGATACATATTTTACTTATTTAAAATCCTTACTATTTGTGTAATCTTATTCCCATTAAGTTATTTACTACACTCTATACAATTAGGATACTAATTTCATTACAACTTTCTTCTGTTGAAAAGCAGGATGTAAAATGACTGCCCTTTAAAGTGCATCATTTCATTATTAATCTTCATTAACAAATGGCTTAATTCATTTGTATAGAATTTCCTACTTTTCTGTTTTTTATAATTCTCGGTGACTCTAAATACAGTAAAATTCACATATTTTCGAGGGGGTAAAATTTTCTTGGTTTGAGGAAAATATATTGGTTCATGAGGATTTGATTTCGTGGTTGATGAATTGTTCAGTAGTATAAATATATGTATAAAATTGCATTTTGTTGTGGACATAAATTCGTGGATCTCTTCATACCTCAAAAACCACGAAAATTAAATCCCCACGAAAATTAGTGATTTCACAGCATTGGAACAAGATGAAATGTATTTATGTATGCACCACGTTTCCATCAAATTATTTTAAAGAATTTAGGGTACATAGAACAAGGTTTGAAGAGTAATTACCGTATGAACAGTTGCACAGAGCAAAATAAAGACCATACTTAGAGAACAGCCAAACTGCACTCTTTAAATACAGTGCCAACTTTTCCATTGTCTTGACTATTGTTGAATACTTTGTGAACCAGAAGTCTCTGTCGAGACTGAAGCTCTACTGGTTTGTTCTTATAGCAAAGGAAGAGGAAAGTACTTAAGCAGTTGGGAATTGAAACTTTACACTAGCAAAAAAGAGAATAATGATCCTTGAATAAGTTTCTTTATGTTCTTAGTATAGTCTACTTGCATGCCACATTACTGTATACAGGGTTATTTTCGCCCCGTGTTATTTTCGCCCTTTTGAACTTATGCACAGTTTTCCCCCCTTTTAAATTTGTCCAGTCACAGTTCTGCTCAAGAAATTATGAGGTTTAATTTGAATTCGCCCCGTTTTAAATTCGTCCAATCAAGGAGAGGGCGAAAGGGGCGAAAATAAAACGGGAGCGAAAATTTCCCTGTATACAGTATATTATAATCAGACTAAAACTGTATTTGAAGTAGCATTTTGAGAGTAACAGAAATTGCTATCTTTATTAACCAAGGTAATAATGTTCATTGAAGTCAAAAACGGATATAAAGAATTATGTACCTTAGTGTAGTCTACTTGTGTGCCAAGTTATATTGAAATCAGACCAAAACTGTAGGAGGAGTAGCATTTTGAAAGAATTTCAAAGAAATTTCTATTTTTAGTAACAACGCCTACACCATTCGTCGAAATCAAAAACCGATACACAGAATTATGTATCTTAGTGTAGTCTACTTGTGTGCCAAGTTATATTGAAATCAGACCAAAACTGTAGGAGGAGTAGCATTTTGAAAGAATTTCACAGAAATTTCTATCTTTAGTAACAACGCCAACACCGTTCGTTGAAATCAAAAACCGATATACAGAATTATGTATCTTAGTGTAGTCTACTTGTGTGCCAAGTTATATTGAAATCAGACCAAAACTGTAGGAGGAGTAGCATTTTGAGAGAATTTCATAGAAATTTCTATTTTTAGTAACAACGCCTACACCGTTCGTCGAAATCAAAAACCGATACACAGAATTATGTATCTTAGTGTAGTCTACTTGTGTGCCAAGGTTATATTGAAATCAGACCAAAACTGTAGGAGGAGTAGCATTTTGAAAGAATTTCAAAGAAATTTCTATTTCTAGTAACAACGCCAACACCGTTCGTCGAAATCAAAAACCGATACACAGAATTATGTATCTTAGTGTAGTCTACTTGTGTGCCAGGTTATACTGAAATCAGACCAAAACTGTAGGAGGAGTAGCATTTTGAAAGAATTTCATAGAAATTTCTATTTCTAGTAACAACGTCAACACCGTTCGTTGAAATCAAAAACCGATACACAGAATTATGTATCTTAGTGTAGTCTACTTGTGTGCCAGGTTATACTGAAATCAGACCAAAACTGTAGGAGGAGTAGCATTTTGAAAGAATTTCACAGAAATTTCTATTTTTAGTAACAACGTCAACACCGTTCGTTGAAATCAAAAACCGATAGACAGAATTATGTATCTTAGTGTAGTCTACTTGTGTGCCAAGTTATATTGAAATCAGACCAAAACTGTAGGAGGAGTAGCATTTTGAAAGAATTTCACAGAAATTTCTATTTTTAGTAACAATGCCAACACCGTTCATCGTACACAGAATTATGTATCTTAGTGTAGTCTACTTATATGCCAAGTTATATTGAAATCAGATTGTAGGAGGAGTAGCATTTTGAAAAATTGTTTACAGACAGACAGACAGACAGACAGACGGACAGACGGACGGACGCCGGACGCATTACTATCGCATAAGCTCTTCTGGTCTCTGACCAGTAGAGCTAAAAATGACAATTTTTGGGTTGACAGAGCATTTCTTTTGATTATACCTGACAGTTTCCTTTCTTAACTGAATGTGAAGCATGATTTCCATACAGATATAAATTAAGCTGCATATCACTGCAGTAAAACATGTTTTTACTGAAGTGCTAGGAACATTTTTATGCAACATCTTTATACTCAGTTATGTAAATAATTTGTCTGAAACCTAAAGGAAATGAAAATTACTTCTCTGTTTATTTATTTATAATGTTGACGGTCTTTCTGGGTTTTAATAAACTTTTGAGTTTCTTTTTTTTATGTGTATCATTTCAATTTTTTAAAAATCTGAATAAATTCATTTAAGTATATACGGATCCCCCTATAGGAGACATGCATGCTATACTCGTACATATGTGATCTTCTTTGGAGGAGTTTATTTTTGTGTTTTTGTAGTAAGTGTTTAATACAGCGTTAAAATACACAAGTACCTGTCAGAAAACCATACAGGCAAATAACTCCCAACAAAACAAAAAAAACAACAACTTTCACAATGATGACAAGTAAAAACTCAGCTGTGAAAGAAGGGATGATCAGATTATCTTAAAGGAAACTATGTTTGCTCAGCAAACAGCACAAAAATTAAATGCAGAAAGCATCAGTGAACAGGGTTAAAGGCTGAGAAAACATCAATACAGAGCCATCTTTCACGGTAAATTTAATACACCCCCTTATGATGTATGGTACACCGATAACTGACCAATCAGTGCGGATCATTACCCTAATACCTTCTATCAGTCAATGGAAAAATAAATTCTAAACTGAGAAAAATATGCTAATAAAATGAATCTATGAATGCACACTAGAAATGTGCAAACATTGGGAACCATTTGGACTTCAATTCAACTCAGGTTATTTTGGGGTGGATGATTTATGGGCAATTTATACTACCTGAGTTTTCAACATAAGCTCTATAGGTCTACATAAGGCGTAATAAAATTTACTTTGCCTTTAATATAATGTTTTTAAAAAAAGCATTGTGATTAATTCTTATGCTGATCACAACTAAACCATTCCTTTTTTTCTACATGAGTTGACATTTAACACCTGTTGCATAATCTTATACCTGTACATTATGAAAACTTTAATTTTTATTTTCTAGTTAATCAACCTAAACCACTTCCATACCCCATTTCAAAACAAATTACTCCTTTCTGTTAAGGTGGGAGCAATATGTTAAGCATCTCCTCCTCTTTCCCCCTCAAGAAACTAATTACGCTGTCTGTACTCCCCCATTTACTAACACCTGTCCAATACAGATGACAAAATAACAAACTACAACCTTCCCCTCCTATTTCCATTCTGATTTGAAAAATATATCCTTTATTCACACATACATCTAATAATATTTGTAAAGTCACATCACACCTTATAATACCTGTAATTAACTCACCTGTATAGCCCCAGCCCAGCACAGAAACACCAAGACCCAGGTGGGGTGTCGGAACCTCCTTAGGGCCGCGTGGCGGCACCCCAGCCACCCACAGGCTTCCTCCTCCGTCTCGCCTGACCCAGGCTCCATATTGTTAAAGGGACTTAAGTAGACCTTCTCGTCTGGTGTGTTTACGTTGGAGGCATTAGGCATGTAAGAATACTGTGTAGAGTCACTCAGGTGTGACTTCTCCTCTCTCGTCATCTACAATCAATAGTGTGACAGAAATATCAAACCATAACCACTGATTTATTGCTCCTAATCTGCCCTCCTTAACTCTATAGGAAGAAAAAATCAAAATGCGGTTACAAGACTGATCAATATTGTGCACTTAGAAGAGACTTAAACACTGATCAGGTTAAAGTTGTTTTACAGACAAATAAAGTCATTAAGCAACCAATTGACCAATGACATTGCTTTCATTAAGTCCAAATGTTAAGAAAACATGTACTTTCAGAGAAAAAGATTATAAAGAGAACATAGTGAATATGCTAAATTAGACTATGAACTGAAGTTACTTAAAGTTATTTCAATTAATTTAGTTACAAATTTTATTATTAAATACAAAAGAGAAGACATTGTTAACCAGTTAAGCAAATATTTCTGGTTTACAAGGTATAAGAAATAGAATATCAAATCAAGATGACCTTGCATTAGGATGTATTCAATGGGATTGTTACAGCCATTTCCTCTTTCATCAGTCACTAAAGTGCTTAGCTTGCAGTGCAAAGAGAAATTGCATCAGTATAGATTTGTAAGGAGTTTGGGAAGGTTACCAAGATCTAGCAAGACTCTGAACTCGACAGAGAGGATAAAAATCCATTCCTGGACAATGCTGATTCAGCAGAAAAAATACCAGACCATATGGAGAGAAGACTGAGCTATTATCTGGCTGCAGCAATAACAGGAAAAACCTTATTGATGATAAATAAGCTTAATAAACAACTAAAGCCATCAATTTGTGTTACACAAAACCACTTGTCATTTGCGGACATAAGAAGAAATTAACTGTCTGAAAATAAACTGTAATGTGTTATTTATAAGCCAATAATGATATTAGTTGAATTTTTCCAAAAAATAAATTGATGACAAATTACATTGATTCGGAAGAAAATTGTTTCTACTAAAGGTTATTGATGCCTCCTTAGCTTATTCACAAGGGGAATTTTTTTTTAAAAATATGACATTCTTCATTACAGTGAAAACTGTCTTATCCAACACCTGTACAATCCAAAACACTGTGAAATCTGATATAAGGTTTCTTTCCAATTTTATAATTTTCAATAAGTTTTTACACTCACAGTGCAATTCGATACCTTGTCTATTCCGACACAAAGTTTGTCTCCTTTTGCAAACCAGATAAGACAGGTTTCACTTTAATTATCTCCATATGAAAGATTCCCTTCAATTGAACAAACTTAAATCCCCTTCATCCAAGGATGCATAGTGGCAATTTGTGCTGAAATTCTTAAGAAAAAGACGAAAATATTAAAAGTTACTGTTAACGACAATGGAAAATTTTATTTTTTATAAAATTTTTTATCAGCAAATTCAAATTAGAAAAAAATACCATAAAATTTTGCTGATTATACTGAATTGCAGATATGCACACTTGCTGTTTATGCCTAGACTTCTTTACTCTCTCTGCCTCTTTCAGAACAGAAAAAATCCTACAGAAACTATAAACAGCCACCCTGTATGACAGTGACATCAACAAAGCCCCCTCTCACTGCTCTCCTCGACCACAAAGTGCCAAACTCCACAGAAGTTAATACATCTCTATTACAGGGCTAAAAAGAACGGCACCGTGTAATTCATGGACTGGAGTCTTGGAGTGGAGTTATGGAGTGGAGTTTGGAATGGAGTTTGGAGTCAATTTTTGGAGTCTGAGATTTTCTTTAAGCATAATTATGCAGAATTTTTTTTCAGAAATGGCATTTGTATGATTGTCTTTAATATTCTAAAATAATCTATTGGCAAGATAAACTTCTAATTTAATAAATATTTGGTACATTTGTATATACATTGTAAGTATGTGGAGTTATGGAGTGGAGTTTGGAGCGGAGTTTGGAGTCAATTTTTGGAGTCTGAGATTTTCTTTAAACATAATTATGTAACACTTAGAATAACAATTCTTTGAGATTATGTAACTGAAAGATCTTTCATTATTAATTATTACTGGTATGTTACCTAAAACAGTGACAGTATATCCTGTTTAATTAAATTTAACTGTTATATCAATTATGAACCCTATTGCTTTCAGTGCATAATTGGAAGGTGATAAAAACCCTTAATCTAAATTATATCTTTCTGTCACATCTCTGTTATGTCTGTTGAAACTTTCACAGGATTTGGACCACACAGCTGTATATGTAGATTAGTAAACTGTTACAAGGTTGTTTGATTTTTGCAAATTTGTACACATACATAATAACCTCTATTGTTTTTATGTAGTTCTTATAAAATAATACCCTAAACATTCTGAGAGTATTGCATAAAGATGCAAGTGCCTTACAACCATCAAAAATCATTTAAGCAGAACACACCGCACCCTCTTTTCATTTTTTTTTGTTTATTCCAGACATAAATGATACCCCTGCCTCACATATGAATATAATGGCAGTCTCCATGTTTTGCAATGGGAAACCCAAAATATGTGCCGGATCAAAAAGTAAAATAGGAAGTGCACAATGGCATTATATAATAAAGATTCTCTGAGGGTACAACAAAGCGTAACAGACGGACTGAGGTACAGACAGATGGACGGACAGACAACCCATTACTACATACACTCCTGGTTTCTAAGAGGGGTATATTAAATTGAAAAAATATTACGTTGCTTTAATTGACTTATTTTTTACATGTAGTGACATGACCCCTAGCTGATTTTGTTGTTCTTAGATATTTTAAATTACAACGGTTTGTTAGAATTATTAGGTCTTTGACCACATTACCAATCAGTTTTATTTAGGTTAATAGTTGTAGGAAGTTATCAATTAATTTTGATTTAGGTGGTTATTAGTTCAATAATGATGTTCAACATACTTACAATGTTTTTACAAATGTACCAAATATTTATTAAATTAGAGGTTTATCTTGCCAATAGATTATTTTAGAATATTAAAGACAATCATACAAATGCCATTTCTGAAAAAAAATCTGCATAATTATGTTTAAAGAAAATCTCAGACTCCAAAAATTGACTCCAAACTCCACTCCAAACTCCACTCCATAACTCCACTCCAAGACTCCAGTCCATGAATTACACGGTGCCAAAAAGAACCCAGTCTCCTCCACGACAGCTTCAACAATATTTCTGTACCCTCTAATTACCTCCTAATCTCTCCCTATAACAACAGGTACACAGGCATGCCAGTTTCACAGCCAATGTTATATCTCTTTCCTATGCTCACCCTTCACTTTTTCCTGATTCTTAAGTAAATATTTTTTTAAACCTTAATTTATGGTAAATCTTGTATTGGTAAGGGCATATGCTAATTACCTTAATGATTGAGGTCAGTTAGGTTGCTGCAAGGTTTTTTATCTTTTCAATGGCATTCTTTGATCACCATCTGAAAAAGATGCAATCACAGATGAAATAATTTGTTTAAATTAACCAGGACAGTTTTATCTTGAAGATGCAAGATACACTGACCTACATCCAGAGTAAAGACTTAATTCAGAACTGTTCTGATAAATTAGAAATACAAGAAACGGTAAAACTGATAACAGAATAAGAAGCAGTTTTTTAGCCCCCTTTTTTATGTCATTGTATAAGATCTATGGAATATACTTTGAGTCTTTCTCTCCATCTCTCAATATCTTTCTCCATATATCACAGAAAGTTTTAGCTTGTGATGGAGAAGTAATCAGGTGTGAACTGTAACTAGAGTTTTGTCTCATTCATCAGATCCCAGTTGATGCTGACTTGATGCCTGCCTGACAACAGTATCCGACTCTGAACTGACTATTACAAAGTCTCCAATTCATTTATCTTTTTTCTTGGAAGATGGAACTTGGCCAAAGTGCTTGGTTTGTTTATTCAGCCTTCAAATTAAAATGGCAATCAAAAATGCCAATCATAATTTTAGGAATTTGTCCAATGTAAAAACTCAAGGGAGTTAGTCTTGTAGATTAAAGATTCTTAAGATCAAAGGTTTTGCATGGGATATCTTGGTGAGATTAATAAATTCTGATTTAACCAAACTTAGATCTATAGGTTAATGCTCTCCAATTTGCATGCATTGCCCATCTTGAAAGATTAGGCAAGGGAAATTTTAATGCATTATTTTTCTTGAAAATTATCATTGAAATACAAATGTAATAAAAATTTTTGGGTAATATTAGTGACATACCAGCATCTGTATGCATGTGAAGAAAGGGTCAATCTATAGAAACTAAATCAATATTACACTTATTTTAAATGCAAGTCTAGAATATCCAAAATATTTATGAACCGGAGAAAAAACCAAATAATTCCCCGAGTTTCAAGTTAGACATATACATGACATTATGTGCATGAATAAAAAGATTACATATCACATACATGTATTGTAGTACCAGAGTAAATTAAATGTGCTTTTGCAAATATATCTATATTTTAAATAGAAAAGGGTGGGCATTCTTATAGTAATTTGTTAAAACTGTATTACTAATAGACTTTACAGAGTTGTCTCTCTTGCAAAATTTGATAAGACGATGAAAATGATGTATAATGAAGGCCAAGAACATAGCCTTCCTACATCTGATCTTTATATTTCAAAAGTAGGTTAATTTCACAAGATAAAAAAAATATGCAAAAAAAAAAAAAAAAAGATGGCATTAAGCATGCTCCAAGAAATCATAAAGTGTGCTTGATCTTATTTAAATGATGCAATATATGATATGACATTTGAAAAAAAATTAAATAACACCACATTTTCCTTAATTTGATAGATTATACATGTTCTTACTGAAGGAAGTAAGGCAATTACCAGTGGTACCAGGTACTACTTATTCAGATACATTTTACAAGTATACATTTCAAGAGTTTTTATTCTTTGTTTGCATCATAATTCATAATTCTTATGTAACTGTACAATGGTGTAATTATACATATAGACTAATACTGTCAGCATTGAGTAAGATTTTATCAGTCTGTAGTACTTGGAAATACAGAGTATTACGTAGGAAAAAATGTCTCAAAATAGATCTATTGGCGGTCCTAATGGGACAAATACCCCCTGAAACAAATTTTTGTTGCAAAAAAAAAAAAACAAGATGTGTTTGTGAAACACTGATGCCCCTGTACGACAACACAGTGAAGGTTGAACTTCTCAAATGCAAATCAAATATGTTGGTACCCAAAGTAAGGCCTTCTCACAAGAAATACAGATTTCAAAAAGCCCAATTAATAAGCACCATCTGTTCATAGTTATGACCAAGGTTAAAGTATTTTAAAGTTAGGTCAAACTCCATGGTCAAGGTCAAAGGGTCAAAGTTGTTGGTTTTAAAAGAAAGGACTTGTCAAAAGGATTATATATGTGAACTATGAAAGTCCTAGCCCTAACTGTTCTAAAGTTATGGCCAAGGTAAAAGCTTTTTAAAAGTAGGTCAAACTCCAAGGTCAAGGTCAAAGGGTCAAAGTTGTTGGTATTCAATGAAAGGTCTTTTCACAAAAATTGCATATGTGAAGTATGAAAGTCTTAGGATCAACTGTTCAAAAGTTAGGCCAAAGTAAAAATTTGGTATTTATGTGTAAAGGTGTGTCAAACACCAAGGTCAAAAGGTCAAATGTGGTAGTACTCAAAGAAAGGTCTTGTCACAATGAATGCACCTGTGAAATATGAAAGCCATAGCCCCAGCTAGTCAAAAGTTATGAGCAAGGTTAAAGTTAATGCAGATAAACAGACAGACAAACGGACAGGGCAAAACAATACACCCCTAAATCTAAGATTATGTGGGCATAAAAAAGAAAATTTAGAAAAACCATTTCATACACATTATAATGCATATTTGTTCATTTAAGTTAAAAGAATTTCTTGACCTCTTAAAAATGATTGTAATTCAATGGCTACTGTTAGCTTATGTTTGCTAAAGTAATATTACCTATGAATCATGGATAACAATTTCTCAGTATATCTCCCTAATAGTTAATTAAGTATGCATCCCCTAATACTTGGAACAATTTCAGTTTAAATCCCTCTCAGATCTTAAATTTAAAAAAAAATCCAGCTAGACAGAGAGACAAGGTCATCTTCATTTACAAGGTACTCACCAAAGAAGTTGAGGAGATGGGGTAACTTCACTTATAGTACCTAGTCTTTTGAATGGATTCTTTTGGTTATTTTTTCAATGATTTTCCAGTGATTGAATTAACTTAATATGTAAGCACTGAAAAGTCAGTAAACAGTTTATCTATTGTGTTTATTTAATGACCATGTATCAATACACAATAGGTCAAATCCGATTAGAGTCCATAAATTCATTAAAAAATATTGTCAGGTTGACTTTCACATTAATACAATTATAGGAATATCTAAATACCTGTTGCAAGAGAGATTAAATACACGAGACCATAAGTATAATTCCATGATTGGCTCACATCAGTAACACTTGTTTATTTGTAATGATTTACGCAGTGAAAGCAAACAACATGACCACATCCCGAGTCCAACAAAAACAGCTGATATAAGGCTGAAAATACATTGGATGAGACATAACATACAAGGGTTAACTGTCATGGAATTTTGGATGACGCGCATTACTAACCAGACATTCCATGTTAACTTTCATATAAAAAAAATTCCACGTTAATAAGGAATTCCATTAGCACTTTTTTTTTTAAAACAAGCCTTGATTAGATTAATGTAATTAAATTCTGCTGTTTTTATTTTATACTCTCAGTGTGTGGCAAGGTGATCATTAATGCAAGATGTAGAATTGATAGAGAGTGCAAAAAAATCAAATCCTGTGATAGCACAAAAGAAAACGGAGAGTTAAAAATATCTTACAAAGTTATGTTAATTCACAAAGAATGAGTGCGGCAGAGCTTCAACCCAGTCTATGACAGATCCTGCTGGAGAAAAGGCATACCTGGCATTGCTAAAAGTGTTTCTTAATTGGGCAATTAATTCCTTAATTGTTGCCAAATCTGTACCACTCTGTGAGAAAAAGGAAACTAATCTATAATAGATATCAAAGCTGCATTTTTTGCACTGATCTACTAAATAACGATCAATGAGCAATTAGTTACTCTTTTTCCGGAGATTAAAATGTTCTACTGAGCCATTCTGCTACATAATAATAAAAGAATTTTTTTGAGTTCTCTTTATTACTGGTATACCTAGAATAATATAAACTTGCTTTTCTTTTCCTGACAGCCTCTACCCTGATGTTGTGTTTGTGCATTTTGCCTATCGTGAAATAATTGTCAAACTATCTCCCTTACATTTCATCTCTGAATTTTTGGTTTTTATCCAGATTGTTACATGATTGCTTCTGTATAATAAAACACCTTTAAATTACTATTTGGACACTAGCAAATTTATTATTATTTTTAGCCAGTAAAATCTTGTAAAATTTATGTTATTTAGGGAGAGTGAGCAAAGATAGCAAATGCTCTCAACATAATAAAATGGGTAGGTATTTGGTAACTCACTAATGTTCAATCATAGAGAAAATGAAATTTTATGCAAGGGTACATTCAAAACATTAGAAATTTCTTTTATAATATTACAAATTTGTACAAAATATGCTTCTTTTTTATTGTAACTTCAGAGTATTAACTTTTTGTAAAATCCCTGTTAATTAAACACTTCCTGTTGATTCAGACCCATATTTAAAGAAGTCAATAAAATTGTCATTTCATACCTTAATGAGCAAAAATGATGCCTTTAAGAAAACTCTCCAATGACCAGAAAAAATCATCAACTTTAATCGTGTAGTCACCCTGTAATCTTCAGCACAGAATATAATGAGTAAATCTTTATCATTAACTTTGTAACTGTCTACCCCCCAGCCAAAGTAACACGACACACACACCAGACTCGCATTTATCTCACCTGGTTCACGTACAACAATGCACCTAAGAAATTTCTCAATACCACACGCCACATGAAAACCTTGGACCTTGGGTTTTATTCTCCAGACAACACTGCAGAGATTATAAAAGATACACAGTGGGGTGGGACCGCAAATAAGATCCAACAAATGCTGGGTACTTGAGAGTTTAAGTTTGCATAGCTGAAATTTAAAATGAAATTTTGAAAAGATTGAATCTTCCAGCCATTTCTGTCTGTGTTGTCAATCTTGTTCTAAGGTACTACATCTAATTGGAAAGATGACCTTTTTTTTTAACTTGTCATCCTTGGTATTTCTTTCTCCCTCATGTAAGAACATTTATAATATTATATAATATATTTATAAAGAGAGAGAGAGAGAGAAAGAGACAGAGAGAGAGAGAGACTTGGAAGTTTTCCACCATGGAGTACAATGAAAATTCTTTAAGCGAGATAAAGAGGAAAAATCACTGATCAATTCAAGATAATTTGAGGATCTTCAAAAAACAAAAATTACAATAAAATGTTATACCACATCAGTCAGCCAAAAGGTACTCAGGTACAGAAAAATCCTGACAACGTGAAGATTTTCTGAAGTAAACACAATTCTCTTTTTAGTGTCAGCCAGTCATAAGAGTTCTGCTATGAGGAAAAGCTTGTTAGTTTTTGAGTGACATCTTACATAGTTTCTTCAGTGCATGTCTTAGATATAACCTGTCTGCACTGTCAAAGTACCTTAATGTCAAACTAGTAAAACTTAGGGGAAGAATATGGCACACCTCAGTCGCAGTGTTTTAATCAATCATTCATAGATAGTGTTACCTGTCAGATTTTTACATTACAACATTGTACAGAATCACCTTATGTATGTAAATCATTCTTAATGTTCTGCACCTCCACATTCCTATGAGCAAGACGTTTACAATATTTTCAATATTTTTTTTCCCATAAATCCATAATTTATTCCACTCTTGTTGAGAATACAAGTAAAACTACCTCATTTATCATCATCTTCAATCACATATGTACTGTTTAAAACATAACGATATCAAGATCAGTCAGAAACCAAAAATGTCTTACCGAACCCTGTATAACAACTTCATCCAAATTTTCAACAACCAGTTGACTTTACTTTTGAAAAGGTATTGTTTTTGAGTGTGGGCATACCAGTTACGGAATTAATACTGTTGTTTAAGCCTATTCCCCAAGCTCTCTGAATGTGTGTGCGATAAACAGGTTTGATAAATTCTCCGATAGCATTCATCACAATTCAGTCATAAAAAAGACAAAGGCATTCAAAAGAAATATAATCATCTCTGATTGCCAGCCATTTAAAAGATCTCTCAATAAGGTGCCTACCACAAACCAGTTTTTTGTGTGACAGGTGAAATTAGTCCCCTGATTGGTCCTGTCGTTTTCATTCATGTAATTATCTCCTTAGATTCTCAAGTCTAGTCATAGATTATCACTCATGGTTCATCATTCATAAAGCACAACTTTTCAAACCTTTCAACTTTGTAAAAATGAGCATGATGAGGGAAAAAATTGATGATAATAGAATCACTCCCATCTTTTTATGATTGAGAAATTTTTTTCAGACTTAGAATGAAAGAATGAATTAACATTTCTGCTGGAAAAAAGTTGAATAAATTTAAAGAAACCTGTTTTTTTTTTCAGTAGCGCTGATGTGATTTATGCCACATTAACAACCTCTGATGTGTTAACATGAAAAGAAATACGACACCTTTTTATGACATCCTAACTTGCTTGTGCATCCATCAGGCTTTGTCATACCAGGGTAATTCCCTTTATTGGTAGCTTTCTAAACATAGTCTTGTCCTACTAAGTATAGCTTAGCACACCCATTCCCATCCATTAAGATTAAAGATGGACCTTTAAACTTTATATTGAAATAATACATTCTTGGGGTAAAGTTTCCCTCATATATAATTTGTTAAATTATACATTACTTTTGTCATTTATCTACCAGCATCTCTGTTAATGAACCCAGAGAATTGTATAAGTTTTGAATTTCAAAAAACCATCAAAACTTCAGTAGAAAGATTTTCTTTAATTTGATCAACAACATTTAGAATTTGATACATTATTCTATATTTCAAAAAGACTTGGACTATATTTCACAGATATTTAAAATTTTCTGACACAGCTAAACTGACATTAAATAAAGAACTTGAAAATAAGCCAAAATTTCATTTTTTACCTACAGTTGGTATTTACTGCCCAGTGGACAAAGCAACAGCTGAATAGAGAACTAGAATAAAATTGTAAGTGTCCTGTTTTTATGATGCTTTAATGCACTGGTGTACATTTTAAACTCGCAACTCACCTTTTTTCTGGCCGAGGGGCGTGTAATTTGTTATTGAAATCATGGTATGAAAACTTTACACCATGTATGGTCAATATTTATTATATTGGCATGTTTTGTAAATATTTATCTTAACTTTCATGTACCTAAATTATCAAATTTATAAACATAAAGTTACCAATTATTGCAAAGAATTGATTCAAGAGCTATCATTCAGCTCACAATTTCTTTTTAATCTCTAAAAAAATGACTGTCCCTACAGCTTGTATAACACCTTTACCCAAGGAAATTGAAAAAAATGAGTTCAAAGTTAAGTAAAACATGCCCTTTCCAGTCAGTTTTGCTGAAACAAGACAAATTTCCAGCAAAAATACTGAAATATCCTAGAATACTTGCATTTGTTATTCTTTTGTTACATTTTTTTTCTTTACTTGTTAACCCTATCCTAACAGAAATGTAAATTTGTTTAGCGGTTTTCATGATGGCAACTGAATAACTGATTTTTAAATAAGAATCCAAAGGAAGCAATATTAAATCAAGTACTTGACAAGTTCAGGGGAAAGTTAATATTGAATTAAACATTAATAAAATGAATTCTAAATTCATGTAAAGCATTTTCTGAACAGCATTGAATTAGCAGTCAAAACTAAAATCTATCTTAGCTTTTATACTACTCATTCTATGGTATTGTGTTGCATACTCAGGATATAAATTCAATGAACATTGTAAATCCACTTACCTCATTTGGAATGGAATACTGCATAAAAACCTGTGTAGAATTTTTTATATTTTCATCTGTTTTACCTACAAAAAACAATTTCCACAGTCGTATATATTGATTATAACTGCTGAAGGCAGAGTATGTTGTTACTGACCAATTATCACTAGTATGAAGAATCACATTCTCCACTAGAAGCATTGTCCACAATCACTAGGCATTTAAATAATGATAATGATATAGAAACATTTTAACAGTCACTGCACCCACCTGAACAATACACAGACAAAAATGATCTCTGTCATTCAGGAAAAAAAGAAGAAACTAATACTTCTACACCCGATACCTATCATCTCAGTAGCATGAAGTGTTAAACACTTAATACCCTACACACAGGTAGGCAAAGGTAACAAATATAATACCTGCAGGACAAGGTAAGAGGCAGCAATGTCGTACAAATCATCAGAGCCACTTACAAATGAGGGATCATCTGGTCACGGAATTTATGATACTGAGCAGTCGACGTACACATAAATCATAATATGTCTTCAATGAAGAACTGACCTCAAAAGGACACTAGCAGAAATGCAAGCATTTACTATACTGCTCCATTTAGTTGTCTAGCCAAATAGAGTATTATGTTAGAGAGTCAAACACAATGTTGTATTTGCATTGATACACAGAGAATGTCACTGAATAAAGACCAAGCTGCAACTCCTCAAAAATAGATAGGATTTTAAATACCATATTGAGCTTGAAATGCCGACAATGACATCATAGATTTAATACTGACGACATGCACTTGCAGTTTCCTTAACGGAATAAAGTAGATTTTTTTTGTTCTTGTTTTTCTCCATTTAGAAAACAGACCCTTAAATGTAAAAAATTGTCGTTACAATGTGAGCAATGTTTTGGCAATTAATTTCTATTCCCTAGCATTGATCTCATCAAATATTTATATTCAACTGAATTAAGTTATTGATTTTAAAATCAACTTCCTCATTTAGTTTTTTTTTTTTTAAATGAGGCCTGGAATAAAGTAAACTTCAGTATATCTGACACTAATATCTGAAGACCATGGATTAGGATATGCTAATAAACTGGAAGTCCCAACCACTTGTTCTCTTAGTTCAGTAAAAATTTTACTCTCAGTACTGTATTTAATTGAATATTAGGCCAAGCTTAAAAGATTCTTTGTTTGCAGTTGTCAACCTATAACATTTTGAGTGGATAGGTAGGAAGGCATTCTTTTTTTTAATTATAGATATTTGTTAGGTAACAATTAAGAGCTTTTCAATGGACTTCTAAAGAAGAGTTATAATCTTCACTCTTGTATAAACCACTGACAAATTGATAAAAACTAAAAGTGAAACAGTTTTAATATCCTGAAAATTAAAAAAAAAAATAATAATATAACAACATGAACAAAATGGCTGGAAAAAGTTTGGGTCAGGCATTTTTTTTCAGTAGGCAACTGCAAACAAACAAATTTTTATTTTAGGCCTTAGTACTTGCCATTCTCTTTCTGGTTTGCTGAATAACATGTTGTGACAACCAAATCCCATTTGAAAAATGTCAACTTTGAAGAATGGAAATAATTTTTACAAATATCCCATTAGCACTTATACCCTAGCTACCCATATATTCAATTTGATTAATTGGTAATTAAACTTGGCTCATTTTCATTACCTCAAAAATAATACTCAGAAATTTGAAAAAAAATCAATTTAATTATTCTTAGTAATTTACAGCTTTTTCAGAATAGTTTACATTTTTCTGACAAAAAACAAATTTACCTTTTAAACACTTTCACGCAAAATGCATGTGTTTGTTTCTCAACATCCATTTCAAGAAAAAAAAATAAAGTAACCTAAAAAACTTTAACATCACTTGAAATAATATGGTACACAAGAGGACCCCCTGTCCCTGACTGATGGTACCTGCATACCCCTGTGAAGTGCCCCCTACTCCTCGTTTATCATTCTGTCAAAACCTGTGTCCACTCTGTCTAAATTTGTAATGGAAAGAAAACAACAGGATGTTGCTGTGAAATCAACAACAAAGACACATATTTCAGTTTTCTGTTTTTTCACTTCAGACTTGACTTGCATAATCTTCTTAAACAAAAATAAACTCTAGGAAAGCAAAAATATGACTTTGTGTTGGCATAAATGCCATTAAATGGTATTCATTATAGAATCAGTTTAGCAAATATAATTCATCTCTCTTAACTATTTTAACACTGCAATATACGGAAACAAAAATGAGACAACTGAAATTAAACAACACATAACTTAGTACTGGCTTCTTTTAATGAACTACAGGTGACTCTTTTTTACTTAGAAGTCAATAGTGCATGTTCTTTTCGACTTTTTTTTTCATAAAGAATCTTTTGACATTAAATTACCTTATGCAACACAAAGTTTGGGAAAATCCCTTTGAAGTCCCCTTAATTCACATAACTTCAGAAAAGCTGACCTTGGGAAGGAATTGAAGTACCTCTGTCCTCTAACACAAGTCCCCCACTCTTAATTCAGTTTCTGGGATTATCTCCTTGTAGCTGATGATTTCTAGATAAGCAGGCATCAAAGATAATTAAGACATGCAGACTCTTCCCATTAATGGGTCAATCCCTTCAAGTATTCTCCGACTCCAGATGGTCTCAGAAATACAAGATCCTGTCCTACTTCAGAAGTCTGTCCATTTACACTTTGCTTGATTCCAAAAAATAGACAAATACTGAAATCCCTCATTTCATTTTCATCCTGAATGCAGAGAGGAGAAAAATGCTATTCATGACATTAATTGTCAAACGTCTGAACAGATGACCTTCAAATATTCACAAAAAAGTTTATTTAAGCAATTTGAAACTTTTACAAAGCAGTTCAACTATCTACTATAATTTTCCAGAAAAATGAACACTGGAAATAAAGAATCAAAGTGTTTACTGAACATATCACTGATATCAGACTTCTTTCCTAAATTTGATGACAGGAAAAAGTTCAACAACCCTCCATCTGCTCCTTAGTCATCTATTGATTGACTGAAATCGGACCAAATCTCTATTACGTGAGGCGCAGATGTAGTCGACACTGGGGCAAAAAAAGAAAGACACAACTAATTTAGGGGGAAAAAAGAATGTTAAAGTGTTCAGATCAGGATGCCCAGATTACAGTCACCCCACATTGCATTAAATTTTCATGTCTGAAAGTTACCACCAACACCTAGAATTAGCCTCCCTATAGTCCTAGCTCATCGTCGTTAGAGTTCATTTCTTGTTTCAATAATGTCTTCTACATCGTGGTCTAGTCATAATTAAACACCTAGTTTGTACCTTGCGGCCCCTGCCTCCTCATTTGTTCTCAGATTTTGTTTTAATTACTTGTCACAGATAGTCTTCAGAGAACTGTCAACATATGATTTAATTTGCTTCTGTACTTTTTTCCAGAGAAAATTTAATCAGAACTGCCTTTGGCTGCCAAGAACATTTCAATTAAATTAATTACTCAGTGAATGTGAATATGACAAAACTTCATTAGGTGTTATAGGGTCTTGCAAAGGACATCAGCAAAATACCAAAATGTAAATCCATATATGTGCATGTTGATAAGGATTTTTTTGCAGAAATGTATTGTAGACCACTAGATTCAGAGAAATAAATTATTGATCAAAAAGAAGAAAATTAACAAACAATTGTATTTTCAATCCCCGATGCAAGAGGCTAATACTTTATGACCTAGCTCACTTTTTATCATTTCGTCTTTTTAGGGTACCTGTAAAGTGCGAAACGAAATAGAAACGAAACGAAACGAAACGAACTGAAACGAAACGAAATCTGCCGAAACGAAACGAAATCTACCGAAACGAAACGAAACCTACCGAAACGAAACGAAATCAAGACGAAACGAAACGAAATCACAACGAAACCTGCCGAAACGAAACGAAACCAGAAGTCTCTGTCGAGACTGTAGCTCTACTGGTTTATACTTAAAACAAAGGAAGAGAAAAGTAGCAGTTGGGACTTGAGACTTTAAATCAGCAATAAATAGAAAAATGATCCTTGCCACTCATCAAAATAAAAACCAATGCACAGAATTATGTATCTTAGTATAGTCTACTTGTGTGCCAAGTTATACTGAAATCAGACCAAAACTGCAGGAGGAGTAGCATTTTGAAAGAATTTCACAGAAATTTCTATTTTTAGTAACCATGGCAACACCGTTCATTGAAATCAAAAACCGATGCACAGAATTATTATCTCAGTGTAGTCTACTTGTATGCCAAGTTATATCAAAATCAGACCAAAACTGTAGGAGGAGTAGCATTTTGAAAGAATTTCACAGAAATTTCTATTTTTACTAACCACGGCAACACCGTTTATCGAAATCAAAAACCGATGCACAGAATTATGTATCTTAGTGTAGTCTACTTGTGTGCCAAGTTATACTGAAATCGGACCAAATCTGTAGGAGGAGTAGCATTTTGAAAGAATTTCAAAGAAATTTCTATTTTTAGTAACCAAGGCAACACCGTTCATCGAAATCAAAAACCGATGCACAGAATTATGTATCTTAGTGTAGTCTACTTGTGTGCCAAGTTATAATGAAATTGGACCAAAACTGTAGGAGGAGTAGCATTTTGAAAGAATTTCACAGAAATTTCTATTTTTAGTAACCACGGCAACACCGTTTATCGAAATCAAAAACCGATGCACAGAATTATGTATCTTAGTGTAGTCTACTTGTGTGCCAAGTTATACTGAAATCGGACCAAATCTGTAGGAGGAGTAGCATTTTGAAAGAATTTCAAAGAAATTTCTATTTTTAGTAACCACGGCAACACCGTTCATCGAAATCAAAAACCGATGCACAGAATTATATATTTTAGTGTAGTCTACTTGTGAGCCAAGTAATATTGAAATTGGACCAAAACTGTAGGAGGAGTAGCATTTTGAAAGAATTTCAAAGAAATTTCTATTTTCAGTAACCACAGCAACACCGTTCATCGAAATCAAAAACCGGTGCACAGAATTATGTATCTTAGTGTAGTCTTCATTTGTGCCAAGTTATATTGAAATCAGACCAAAACTGTAGGAGGAGTAGCATTTTGAAAGAATTTCACAGAAATTTCTATTTTTAGTAACCACGGCAACACCGTTCATCGAAATCAAAAACCGATGCATAGAATTATGTATCTTAGTGTAGTCTACTTGTGTGCCAAGTTATATTGAAATCAGACCAAAACTGTAGGAGGAGTAGCATTTTGAAAAATTGTTTACAGACAGACAGACAGACAGACGGACAGACAGACGGACGGACGACGGACGCATTACTATCGCATAAGCTCTTCTGGTCTCTGACCAGTAGAGCTAACAAAACTATCAAAATGTTTTTTTTTTGTTTTTTTTTTTTCGTAAATCAAGGTACATGTATATAATTATAAATGTGTAACTGCATGTGGACTTTTTTTTTTACTTCAAATAAAATTCATATACTTCAAGCACTTGTTAATATAAAATTTAATTAGCGATAAATTATGCTCCCTTCTCAGTCTAATGATGCATTTACATGTTTGCAAGCTGCAAATATACACGAGCGTACTATGCATGTATAGTTTCAATATGTGCATTAATTTCTAATTTTTATATCTTACTCTTATTTTCAGTCCTTATTTATCTAGATTCAACATATCTATCAACATTGATGTGTTATACATGTAAAGGCTCGTTTATGTACGGGTCGAAATAAAGTCACTGTACTGTTGTATTGCGAATGTCCTAAAACATAGGATAAACCAGAGACTTAGAGTATTTAGTATTCCATTCCAAGGTGTCTGGTTTTTTGTTCAATCAGATTATACATGTAACTCCAACAGAAATCTTGTGTATCCTTTCTACACGTACATACGGTCCTATTTTTATCGAGGTAAATTTGGAGGAGGAAAGGAGTGGTTGACAATAAAGAGGCTCGACCATAGACGTCTTAAACGATTTAACTGACAAGTAAAAAGTCTCTCTAAGCGAACGATGTCACTTTTAAGTAGGTAAATTATTCAGTAAGATATTAACAAAATATGACATAGGTGTCAGAAGCGGCGGGGAGGGGGGGGGGTTAGCCTCAATCCCCACTATCTTGCAAAGATATATATTACATAGGCATTGAAAACTGGGTTTATCTTTTTTGTTGGTTAAGCCCCCCCCCTCCACTTTCAATTTCCTTCCAACGCCTATGTAGGAACTTGAAGCGAAACAATTGCCTGTGGTGCTTGAACTATATAAATTTCATATGAAGTAAAAATAGACCATATAATCATTCTGAAAGGTTTGTTTCGTTAGGTTTCGTTTTGATTTCGTTTCGTTTCATCTTGATTTCGTTTCGTTTCGGTAGGTTTCGTTTCGTTTCGGTAGATTTCGTTTCGTTTCGGCAGATTTCGTTTCGTTTCAGTTCGTTTCGTTTCGTTTCTATTTCGTTTCGCACTTTACAGGTACCCGTCTTTTTATTGCATATTCATTTTTACTTATAAACTCTCCTGCTCTTCTTTCCCGATGCTATCCTAGCTACTGTATGAAATAACCAAATTGTCACTTCTGTCTTAAATTGATGCCATAGCTGCATAATTCTTCCTGGATCAATAATCAGAAAAGATAGCTTCCTACTACAAGACTGTCTAGAAAATAATGACTTTGTGAATCACTGTATAATCTTCAAATATAACACCATGCACTTTTTTAATTTATAAAATCTTTTAAATTATGTCATTTACTTGTCTTAATTTAGCATTGCTAAGTCACTATAGAGAGAACTACCTTGTCTATCTATGTCCTTAGATGACTCCATGCAGTTGAAACTGATTGTTTTAACATTGGGAGACCTGGAACCCCAAATCTGCATATATCACCAAGAGCTTCCCATCTCAATACCAGCAGGGGTGACTAAACTCATTAAGGGGCCCATATCATCCACGGAACATCTCCATTGAATTAATGGTTTTAAAGTATTCATGCTTGTACATTTTTTGCTCATATAATTACAAATATAGAACACTGATTATCATATTCAAACAATTCTGCAACATTGAATAAACAAAAGCATGTCATATCTTTCATTATTTCACTTAATTATTAATTTTCCCTGTAGAATACTCTTAATGTCTCGCATTTCACTTTCAGGCAGCACACAAGGAAATGCCATTCTTTTTAGCATTACTTTAATGATGCACAATATTTTAAAAAGAAATACTTACAGGCACACCAAGAAATTGAGCAAAAATGTCCACTGGCAACTCTGCAAAACTTATGACACTGTACACCAGAGAAATTTTCCAGGCTTCTGTGAGCAATGCAACTCCAGTATAATTACTCTAACAGATGACAACTGATACTAGAAATCTCTCCAAATTGCCAAGCACAGAGGAAAATCAGAGAACACATCAGGCATATTACTTTTGTCCACAGGCTATATGGAGGTGAAAAGGGTGAATTTTAAAAGTAAAAAACAAATTGATTTCAATTCATTCAAATAAATTTAAGAACACCAAATTAAAAAAAAAATTGAAAGAGAGATAAGTATCATAAGCCTCTTGAAAAGGGCAAGCACTCAAATATGTACCACTTCGCTCCAGCACCTGCAGATTTTTGTTACCGATAGTATACATTGTACAATGGAACAAACCTAGCAGACTGCACTTAATACAAACACAGTAAAAGCCAAACAAATACAAAGAGAGATCCAACAACAATATTATTCTCAATTATTCTCAAATCAAGACAAATTGATCATTAAATACCTGCATCCTAGTCAGGAACACCTGATTCTTTGGTTTATAGCTGCAGGTTCTTGATCAAACTGCTTGGAGTATGTTCTTCTGGTGTACTGCAGAAAATAGATTGAAAAATGCACAACTACAGGTATATTAAGTTTTCAGAAAAATTGCATAATGACCAGAAAGAAACTCTCACGCATAGACAATTTACATGGAATGGCATTAAGAGTTCTGAAGTAGTTAAATTAATTACCTAACAAGATGTGTTTTATCACCAAGTCTCCTGAGTTATAACACATACAGTATCAATGTAGGTATTCCACAACAGTTGTCTACAGTGCCTGCAAGATGAAATGAGGACAATTTTCTTTCTTCTCTATTTTTTTTTTTATCTTTTCAATTCTGATAAGAAGGTTTCATGTGAAGCTTCATGATGGGCATAGAGTAAAAGCTGGTGTAGTTACAATTTAAAGCAAACATTCCTAAAAAATGTTACATTTGTATCATGTGGAAATATATGAGACTGGTAATGCACTTTAAAACCTAAATATAAATTGTAATTTCTAAAGATTATATGTAAAACATTAAATGAATACCTTTATTATTATTATTGTTTGTTCTTTTCTTTCCCTTACTAATCTGATCAACCTTAAAGTTAGGTGCATGGACACAGATTTGAAGTTGATATTTTCTCAAAATTTCTTTATAATATAATGACTTATATATTGCAATAACATTTCACATGAAAATATATTAAAATCTTATTTCCTCTAAAAGTTATTGAAACTTCAAAATTTTGGACGGGTTTGATTGACACATCCTTGCACTTTCACAAATTTTAATTTCATTAATAATTACTAATAAAAATTTGAAGTTTCAATAATAAGATTTTTAATATATTTTCGTGTGAAATGCTATTATAAGTAATATAAAGTTATAATGCTATTATATGATTGAGCGCATGCGTTAAGATGGACAGGCAGGGTTTTTAGCCCTGAAGTTTTTAAGCAGAAAAACATTTGTATTGTGAGTATAATTTGAGTTTCTTGACAAACATTGTGCTATTTATGGTTTATGAAAGAGAAAATGGCAGAAATATGGGAAAGGGAGAGGCGTAGGCTTTCGTCAGACGGGCAAACCGAGAAGCCCCCCAGCAAAATGATCAAAATGGCGGATGGAAAGGATGAATCGAATGTCAAAGATTTTGAAACGAAAATAATTGATCAGATGACTGTTATAGCAGACGCGGTAAGCAGCCTTCAGAAAGGTCAAAAAGAACTAAGGTCGTCGTTTGATAGCAAATTAGATAAATTTCGTAACGAGTTCATGGCAAGCATTGACGAAAAATTCAAAGCAATGAAATCAGATTTTGACCTTGAACTTGGCAGACATCAGGGACAAATCGATTCGCTGTCACGGTCGGTTGACGCACTCATTGAAAGAATGCAAAAGGTTGAGAATCTAGAACGACCTGAATACGAACAAGAATTGGCAAGCGGTACAAACAAGAAAAGTCAGGCGAACACGCTTTTTGATCCCGAGCTCACGATAATTGCAAATAACGTTAGGCAGTGTGAGGATGAGAATATTTTCGAGATTGCTAATGATATTATTAGTCACCTAAGTGATTCTGTCAAAGTAGTTGCGGCGGCACGGCTAAAGAGCAGAGGTTTCGGCAGACCCGGTCTAGTCAAAATTAGTTTCCGCTCAGTTGACGAGAAAATAGAAATTCTACGAAAGAAACGGGATCTACAAAATGTTGAAGCATATAAATCGGTCTTTCTTAGATCCTCAAAATCACACACAGAGAGATTGATAGAGCTTAACGCAAAAACTATCCTGAATCAGATTCCAAACGGCAACCAATTTCGCATAACTTCCAATGGAAGAATCGTGAAAAAAACTCAAAACACACAACAAAACAACTCACCCGACTTTCATGATCAAGATCGCGAGGACCACCTGTAGGGACTTTCCCGGCCTATTGACAGTCTTAAATTAGGTCATTTAAATGTCTGTGGTTGGACAAAAGAAAACGGTGAACTTAGAAACCAAATTATTTGTGCACTAAGTTATGATGTAATTGCCGTTAGTGAAACACATCTAAAAGAAGAAAATAATATCGAAATTCCAGGTTATAGGTGGTTTGGTTTTAATAGAAGAAATATACATGTAAATGCACCCAAACCTTCCGGTGGCGTCGGTATATTTATAAAAGAATGGTTATCTGATCAGTTTGAGATATTAGTGATTGACAAAAAGGTTGATGGTATACTTGGAATAAAGCTGAAAAACCGTAGTTCTGATTTTGAATTCACTGTGTTTGCATGTTATTTACCACCCGAATATTCTAACAGAGGGCGAGATGCTCAAGGTTTCTATACACATCTGTTAACACAGATTTATTTGAATTGCGAAAGTGACGCTATTTTTGTGATGGGTGACCTAAACTCTAGAATTGGCCATTCGAATGACGTACTTCAAGACATTGATCATATCCCTAATCGCACAGCTATAGACAACACTGTTAATCAACACGGGCATGAATTAATTGACTTTCTCAATGAAGCAAATTTCTGTGTATTGAATGGTAGATTCCCAGATGATAACTTCACATGCATTTCAAGGAAGGGAAAATCTGTAGTAGATTATATATGTGTACCAATAGATGTATTTAGACGAATCAAGAACTTCACGGTTTTAACTATACAGAATATTGTAGCGGAATTTGAACTATTGAAATTTGTCGGGGAAAAATCTAAACTTCCTGATCATTCCGTCATCATGTGTGAATTTAATTTATCCGATTGTTGTCTAGTTCCTAGTATCCCAAAAAGTGCACACTGTCAAAATCGTTTTCAATTTAATAAGATCCCACATGATTTTATGTCAAGTGAGTTGAGACGGTCTGCCTTGATAGCGACAATCGATCTCATTGAAAACAGCCGAAAAACACAAGAAAGTATTGACGAGATTTATGAACAGCTATGTGAAATAATTTATGCTGAAATGGAATCCAAACTTCCAAAAGTTTTAACAAGAAGTAATAAGAAACGTTTTAAAAATAGCAAACCATATTGGACAGACCAATTAACAGATCTATGGAACGTGACACGAGAAAAAGAAAATAATTTCATACGATATAAGGGGGAAAGAAAAGTCAAATCTGCTCTTAGACGGGAATATATCGAAGCACGAGATTTATTTGATAAAACTCTTAGACGCGCTGAACGCACCTATAAGAAATCATTTGCTAATGTAATAGAAGATATGAGTTCGACAAATCCAAATGAATTCTGGAATAAAATTCGAAACCTTGGCCCTAGAAATGAACACAATATACCAATGGAGGTTTTGGATGATGAAGGAAATAGTATATTCAACGAACAGGAAATCTTGGAACGATGGAGAGTTGATTTTGAAAATCTGTATAACGGGTGTGGAAGTACCGAATTTGATAACGTCCACTACAACGAATCAAAATCAGATAAAGATTTCAGAGAACGCCGGATGGATGAAGAATTGTACCAGTGTAACGAAGAAATTAATCGTGATGTATCGTTTCAGGAAATTTCTGATATAGTGATGCGTGCAAAATCCAATTCGGCTTGTGGATTCGACGAAATTCCTTACAGTGTTTTGAAATATCCAGTTGTTATCAACACAATATGTCGTCTTTTTCAATATATTATCGATACAAGCATGATCCCCTCGGTGTGGAGGAAAGCAATAATATGCCCTATTCTTAAGGATCCCTCTTCAGACAAACGTGTCCCAATGAATTACCGTGGAGTGAGCCTGTTGCCATGCATTAGCAAACTGTACAGTTCCTTCATAAACAAAAGAATTATGAGTTATTTAGAGAATAACGACATTTTAGCAGATGAACAAAATGGGTTTAGAAAGGAAAGATCGTGTGAAGATCATTTATTTACATTGAATAGTTTAGTCCAAAACAATAAAAATCTCTATGTTGCATTTATTGACCTTCAAAAATGTTTTGATTTTGTTGATAGGGATATGATGCTTTACAAACTTTTATTACATAATATAGATGGAAAAGTTTATAATTCGATAAAGAATATTTACCAAAGTTCAGAATCCTGTGTAAGAGTGAATAATAAGCTCACAAATTGGTTTAGTTGCAAAACTGGTGTTAAACAAGGAGATAATTTATCCCCTACCCTGTTTTCAATTTTTATTAATGATCTGGTACAGGATATTAATAATCTTAATTTAGGCATAGAACTAGTTGATCGAAAATTGTCCATCTTATTATATGCAGATGACATCGCTTTAATAGCCAAGTCTCCTGAAGATTTACAAATTATGCTAGATAAACTACATAGCTGGTGTAGACGTTGGAGAGTTCTTATAAACACCAAAAAATCTAAGTGTGTACATTTTAATAAAACTAGGTCAAGGGCAGCCAATTGTGAATTCACTATAGGACTAAATAAGTTAGAAACAGTTGAAAATTATAAGTATTTAGGTATAACATTTACGCACACTGGTAATTTCATGAAAAATGCAGAAAATCTTGCTAAAGCAGGGGGACGTGCACTAGGGAAAATTATATCTTCGATTCATAGTAATAAAGATTTCAGGTTTAATGCTTATGAAAAACTGTTTTACTCTTGTGTCATACCTGTTTTGGATTATGCATCCAGTGTCTGGGGTTACAAAAAATTCCAGCCTATAGATAATATACAGAACAGAGCTATTAGGTATTTTATTGGGGTTCACCGTTTTGCTCCTACATTAGGGGTTTATGGGGACACTGGATGGATTCCAAGTCAGTATAGACATTGGATAAGTGTAATCAGATATTGGAATAGAGTTTTATCCTTTGGCAATGATCGAATTACAAGAATTGTTTTTGAAGTTGACTACAATAAGTGTAAAAATAATTGGTGCAGTGATTTGAAAGACATATT